CCTGCCTGCGGGTAGAGTCCGGATAATCTGGCCTATGAGGATGAAGTGCCGGACCTAGGGAGACTCAGTCTTTTCAAAAAATTATTTTTTATAAGCCTGTTTTTAAAACTCTAAAGCATTCATGAGTTGATATTTCAACTAGCATGCATTGCATTAGTAACCAACTAAATAAAATTTAATTGCGTTAGCTAGGAACATCTGACCCACATAAGTTCAGGACCACTTAGAAAATCTTCTAGGTGTCGGACATATTTTCAATAACTATACCACCCACCCATCTTTCATAAATGACTTGATATCATGGGTTTAAAATGATTAGGTGGTTAGCTTGCTCCCCAATCCAGGCCGGGATAAGTTCAGGTTTTGTACTGCATTAGCGAGGAAACAGGTCTTAGTGTTGCTCATAGAACACTAAGCCCAACCTAGATTTAGGATTCGAGGCTACTACACTCGGTCTCGTAGTATGCCTTAAATAGTAGGTCGGTCCCTTCTTTTCAATGACTATAAATCCTACTTATCGGCGTCACAGGATGACGCCACCTCCATCCTTCTCTCACGCATGTGATAGGATGCCTGACTTTTCTTTTCCCCAGGTTTTCTTTAGTACCCTAGATCCTCCGAATGCTGGTATGAACCATGCATTTTGACTAAGCCTTTTTTGGGACCTTTTCTTCCTTTTGAGTAGGATTTCCTAGTCTATACCCTCGTGCCGATCCCAAATTTGGAAAGGATAATGCATGATCCTTAATAGAGAGTTTTCTTGGGCTCCTGCCTGGGATGTAATTAACCACGGGGCTTGCGCCTGTGGGAAACTTGGCCCCACAATCTACTAAACCCCATTCGAACTGTTGTATCGGGTGGGGGAAACCCATGCCTAGGTTTTGTATATTGCTAACCATCGGGGTGCGTTGACGACAGCCTCTATCCTCAATAGTTAGTCGTATACACGATCAAATCTGCCCTTCCAATTGACCCGTTCGCGTAGTGTTCTTTCGGAGGTCCACAGGTTTCTAGCGACCACGGTGGGACTAGTTTCTTTTTCCATCTTTGGATTCTATATTATCCTTTCTGGTGTGTACTCTGGGATTGGTACTCCTTAGATTAGGTCCGTCCCACTCTTAGTTAGGGTTTCATTCCCTGTAGCTAGGGTTCCCCTACTCTACTTCCTTCCAGCCTAGCAGACTATTCCGTCCTTTATCCATTCCTATCTTTCTTTATCAAATCCTTACTCATTCCTTCTTTATGAATTTTCAATTCTAATTTCTAACTTTTCAATTTCTTTTCTTGACAGCAGTGTCATGGCTTCCTTTGTTCCGTCTGTTACTTTCAGTTTTGGTTCGGACGCACGGGTGACTCTCCCTGAGTCCATGCTTGCCAGTCTGCCCGCTGGAGGGATCACTTTTGGTTCATTCACAGACTCGGCCTTCGTCGCTCTTGGCGGGCCAACCCCGGCGGAGTTTGCTACTTTCTCTCCCCCTCAAAAGAGAGGACGTGCAGCTATGCGCCCTTTCGGACAACCAGCTGCTCAACGGACAGCCCGAGCACCTGCTCTTCCCATTCCTGTACTTGTGCAGCCTGTGCGCCCTGTGGCTAGGAGACCAGTGCCTAGTCCACTCCCCGTTCCACCAGTTCATCATGCGGTCAGCCGTCCAGTGCTTACCGCTCCTGTTATGCAGGTTGGCCCCTTAGCACCGGCAGCCTGCTGTAGTTGTTCCACCTGTTCATCTAGCGGTCAGGAGACTGCGTCTGTCGCTCCTATTGCACAGGTTGCTCCGGCCCCTCAGCACCAGCAGCCTGCTGTTGTTCTTACTTCCGCTGTTCCGGCAGAAGTACCTTGCGTTCGGGTTTCTCCTCCCACTTCCATTAGGAAGAGGGGTGCCTAGACAGAGGTGCCTTCACCCTCTTCTGGCTGGGTTTTTATTTTTTCTCGGCTTTCTCACCTTGAGACTGCCGGGCAGACCCCGGTACTTCCAGTTATCCCTATTCCCCCTGTCAGCCAGATAGTGGGTTCAGATGTCCCTTCCACCTCCACCTCTGTCCTTGGGAGAAGGGCCCGGAGGAATAGGAATATGAGTTTACGTTTAGCTGCGTCCAAGGCAGAGAGACAGCAGATGGCTGAGGCGATAGCTCACCAGGAGCTTGTACAGAGGATGGTGGCTCCCAGACAGCGGAGACCATGACCAGTTGTAGTTGTACCTACTCCAGAGGTTATTGTAGCTCCTGAGATAGAGGCAGTCCAGGGAGGACGCTTCTCCCCGATGACACACAGTGGGGACGAGGAGGATGTTGCCCGCATTGCGGCGGCCCCTCTTATTTCCACTACCTTACCCTGGGCTAGGGTCCCTAGGGACGCTGGTGTTCGAGCCCTCACTCAAAGGATTAGACACATCATTCGCCTAGCTCGTGGTAGGGGGCCTGTCAGTCGGGAGAAGATACTCCAACATATTTCTCAGGGGCATTTCCAGTTACGGAGACAGACTGCGAGGAGACTTTACAGTTGACAGAAGAGGCAGACACCTCAGCAGCCTACAGTTCCAGTAGTTAGTCCGCCAGTAGTTGCTCATATAGTAAGATGATGCCCACGTCGTTAAGGATGGAGACAACAGCAGGAGTCTACCTGGCCTCAGGTCAGTTTAGTAGTGGTAGCCCCAGAGCAGCCAGTTGTTAGTACAGAGCCCCGCTGTAGGAGGTCAGATTGGAGGCGTCGACATGTAGACACCTTTATCGACCCAGTTTCAATAATTGAGACAGAGCAGTTGTTAGAGGAAGAGCAGCAAGATGAGGCAGCTGATCAGATGGAGGTTGTGGCTCTTTCCAAGTCTAAGGCGGTCCCGATGGTTTGCGATGATGGTTCAGTACCTACCCCAGACAGATCGCCAGTGCGGATTGAGACAGAGTTAGCCCCTAGCACTCATAAGATCACCTCTCCTATGAGTCCATACATAGAGGCGATGCGGCGATCCTTTTTAGATGATGATGATACACTAGTGGATTTTGATGAGGATGTGCCAGTATACCGGGTTTGTGTGGTTACCCGTAGAGGTCACTCGGATGAGAGAGAGCCCAAGGACCAGGATGAGCAGGGAGAGCCCGAGGTGGGTGGAACTCCCGGATCAGTGGATACGGATGCTATAGTCCTGAACCTTCAGGTACAGATGGCAGAGATGGCCAGAGCTATGGTGGCCATGACAGCACAATTGACAGCCTTGGGGGCGATGCCCCAAGTGGCAGAGGTAACCGCTGCTAGTACTTCTAGAGATCAGCCAGTCATGCCTCCAGCTACACTAGACCCCCTAAGAGTGGACAGGGTCTAGAGAGTAGTGCATGCATCACCATCTATCGTCCAGAGTCAGCCAGCTCAGTTGTCAGCAGGTCAGCTTCAGGATCTGATTGCCCAGAAGGTAGAGCAGGTCATTTCCTCCAGGAAGATTGGAGAGTCAGTTAGCAGAGGGCATCTTTACCTGGTAGAGTACGAGCAGGAGCCCTACCCTCTGGTTTCATCCCTCCTAGGTTCAGAGTGTTTGACGGGTTTGGGAACCCGAGCCAGCATGTGGCTCAGTACCGGGCTATATATTGCAACATAGGAGGGAGTGATCCGTTGATATTGAGGTTATTCGTTAGCAGCTTGGCGGGGGTGGCGTTTGTCTGGTACGCCAACCTCCCCAACGACTCAGTCTGGACTTTTATAGAGCTGTAGCAGCTTTTCATATAGAGGTTTGTCAACACAGAGCACCGGGTTACAGTTGGGGAGTTAGTAGTCACCAGATAGAGGGCTAGAGAGTCACTCACAGATTACATAGTCAGATGGAGAAACCTCAGTTTGCAGTGTGAGCCACAGCTACAAGAGCAGCATGTAGTTGAGATCCTTTTGAAGAACATAGATGGTCTCATTGCTCCATACCTGAAGGATTTCACCATTCGAACCTTTCAGAAGCTATTGACCAAAGTCACCAGCCTATAGGACAGTATACCCGATGCAGTCCCTCTTAAGGCTAAGAGTTATCTTTCGAACAGACCTCAACGACGAGAGTTTTAAGGGGCACCTTCACCTAGGAGAGGGGAGGTACACAGTACTCAAGGACCAACAGATAAGGGCAAGAGGCCCTTTGTCAGTTCAACACCTCTACAGCAGTCACGCTCAGCTAGTTAGTCACACTCAGCTAATCAGCCAGCAGTACAGCCCTGGATCTCCCGTAGGACTCTAGAGAGTCAGCAGTACCTATAGGAGAAGCTTAGTAAGGAATTTCCCTTTAAAAGGGAGAGTGTGAAGAAAATATTTAAATTCCTTACTAAGAAAAATATGTTAACATTTCCCAACAATAATAGAGTGGAGGAAGAGGGTAAGACTGAGCACCTACTCTATTATCCTTACCACAGACACATTGGGCATATGTTAGAGGACTGCTATGTCTTTAAGGACAGAGTTGAGAGGTTGATGGCTACAGGATAGATAGACCTCCAGGACAGTGGCCTAGTGCAGCCCAAGGGCAAGGGCCCTTAGACAGTTCAGATGGTTTTCAGTCCCAGCCATAGTCCCAATCAGAGTGACAGTCAGGGCAGTAGTGGTAGTTTACCCCAGAGTTCTAAGGGAGAGTGGCAGTTATCACTCTCCAAGAAGACCAAGAGGATGATAGAACGTGCAGTTCAGAATTCAGAGGCAGTTGAGAGGAGGCCACCCCAGGCCAAGTCGACAATTCCCACTGTAGTTACTACGCTAGCACTTATACCTTCTTCTTCTTCTCTTTCTGTTGTAGTGTCTACTAAGCACATTCCTTCTTCTTCTGTTGTATGTAATAAAAAAATGTATGAAAGAGAAAAGTATTTTGTAACCTCAGAGGGGAAGACAGCGTTCCTTCCAGCACTTATGTTGAAGGACTTTGTTCTCCCTTCATTTGATGAAGAAATAATATAATAAGGTGATTTTAGCTACTTTTGGTGTTCTTCTCCTACTGTTTTTACTACTATTTCTACTTCTACTTCTACTGCTCCTACTTTACTAGCACTCACTCTTTCACTGCTTAACATGTCTCTTATAATGATTCTAGTGAAGAGTCTTTGTCTGAGTATAAAGATGAACCAGTCTTTATGATACCCGAGGGTGGATGTTACATAAATTCAGAAGATGAATCTGAGAACTCACTCCCAGTACTTTCCTTAGAACTAACACCTGCCACCACCACTGAACCAGAGAAATCTCATGTTGAGGATGACTCAATACAAGAATTTCATCTCCATTCAGGGAAGGTCCTTCCACCTAGGTTGGCTATGAATATAAAAGATAAAAATATTATTACCCAGCAGGATGACTCTATCCCTTCCTCCTAGGAGAAGCCTAAGGAGTAAGGGAAAGACCCTCAGTTGGAGGTTGATTACAATGTGTTGGCTCATCTAAGAAAAATTCCTTCCCTTCTTAGTGTCTATGACGCTTTGATGTTGTCACCTGACTTGAGAGAGACACTGGTAAAAGCCTTGCTTGAACCAGAGTTCTATCAAGCCTTCTTTGTTTTCGACCCCACTGATGAGGCATGGAATTTATACAACACACCATGCATCACCTTTTCTAGTCGTGATCTTCTTTTAGGGACTAATGATCATAATCGTCCCTTGTATGTCACTGCTGAAGTCAATGATTATGAGTTGAACAAGGTCCTCATAGACCAAGGGGAGTTAATAAACATACTAACACATGAAACTTTGAAGAGCCTCTCCCTAGGTCATTTGAAGCTCACTTCCGACAAGATTATGTTGAAAGGCTTCAATGCCCATGGCCAGCGAGCTATAGGGTCTATCACCTTGCCTCTAAAATTTAGGAATTTTCTAACTAAGGCAAAGTTTTATGTAATTGAGGCTGACACTTCATATTAGGCTCTTTTAAGAAGGCCTTGGATCCATGAGTATGGAATGGTGCCCTCTACCTTGCACCAATGTATGAAGTTTCTGAGGAATGATATTGAGTATACCATTCATGGAGATACCCAGCCCTTTTCCATGCATAAGATCTCTAAGTACCTCAGAAGGCTCGTAGAGCTCCACCTGCTCAGTCACCAGCGATACCTGCTCAGTCACCAGATCCCTCTCAATTAGCAGTGAGGCATGATGTTCCCCCCAGTAGAGGTAGGGAAGGTAGAGGTAGAGGGAGAGGTAGAGTTGCGATCCATGAGCCGCGGAATCACGACACTCATACATCTCCTCCCCCTAAACTTTACACTTCTTCTTTGACTGTAGAGTCCGACTCTTCCGACGATGAAATGATCGATATCTTTCAGCATCCAGTCACTTCATCACCTCCATATTCTACTGGTTATGATTCACCGTGACTTTTCATAGTCATTTGATACTTCAAGGTGGATTGGTTATTGATATTAGCTCAGACGAGGAAGAGGACTTCTGACATCATACTACTACCTGGCAACCTTCCCCCCATCAAATATGCGGGATAGGAATTGGGGATTCCAATCAAAGATCTTCTGGCACTCCTATAGTTGATGATGATAGTTCGATATGGGGTAGTAAAAACCCCATACCCCACTTGTACGAGACTTTTAAACTGGCACGATCTGAGCGCCCCTCTGTACCTCATAGTATAGGTGCCCCACTAGGTCCTGTTAGCTAGAATCTAGAGGAGACCGCTATGAATATAGAGGTCAGGAGTTCCCCTCATTACTTTTCACCCACCGTAGAGAGCTTTATTGAGCGGGGTCTCATTCGTTCCATTTGTCCCGATGAACAAGCTCTACAGCAGGCCCGAGTCTGGCGGACTGATTTTCCTAAAGGTCTAGGAGGTATAGGTTATATTGGATTAAATCAGTCCAATAATGCCAACATTCGTGTTATTTACCATGCTTATCTGGTTATTTCTCTTGCCGATGAAGAAGACCCAGATAGTGGTGAAGATAGAATACTTGATGCTCCACAAGAGTTTGAAGATGGCGTCACTTCAGCCATGGATGAACTTTTGAGGTAAACTTAGGCACTAAGTCAGATCCTAGTCCTATTTTCCATAGTGCACTATTGTCTGATTCAGAGGCTCAAGAATACAATAAGTTACTATCAGAGTTTAGAAACTTCTTTGCCTGGAAATACACCGAGATGCCTGGTTTAAATCCAGATGTAGTAGTCCATAAGTTAGCCATTAAGCCTGATGCAGTCCTTGTTAAATAAGCACCTCGTAGGATGAGATTGGATATTGAACAATAGGTGATCGCTGAAACTAAGAAGCTTATAGAAGCTGGCTTCATTAAGGAAGAGAAGTACCCCACTTGACTTGCCAATATTATTCCAGTCAGGAAGAAGAGCGGATAGATACGAGTCTGTATCAACTTCCGTGATTTGAATAAGGCATATCCTAAGGATGATTTTCCTCTCCCCATTCTTAAGCTTATGGTAGATATAGCATCATCCCATAGCATCTTCTCATTCATGGATGGTTCATCTGATTACAATCAGATAAAAATGGACCCCAAGGATGAGAGGTTCACTGCTTTCCGAACACCTATAGGTTTCTTTTGTTATAAGGTGACGCCCTTCAGTCTCAAGAACGCCGGAGCCACCTATCAAAGTGCCATGACTGTCATCTTCGATGAGATGATACACGAGCAAGTTGAGTGCTATGTGGATGATTTGGTCGTCAAAAGCAAGATTTGTGGAGATCACCTTAGAGATCTACGAATCATTTTTAAACGCCTGCGCAAGTTTGATTTAAAAATGAATCCTTTAAAATGTGCATTTGGAGTCAGTGCAGGAAAATTCTTAGGGTTTATAGTTCGCTACCGTGGCATTGAGATAGACCCCTCTATGATCAAGGCCATAGTAGATTTAAAACCCCTTAAGAGTCTTACCCAGTTGAGATCCTTCCAGGGTAAACTTACTTTCTTGCGGAGATTTATCTCTAATCTTTTTGGTAAGTGTCATCCCTTCTCTTCACTGGTGAAGAAGGATGCCCGATTCCACTGGGATGAGAGTTGTCAGGAGGCCTTTGAGAGTATAAAGCGCTACCTGATGAACCCCCCAGTTTTATCTGCACATATTCCAGGTAGACCATTGATTCTTTACACAACGGCCCTGAATGAGTCCTTAGGTGCATTGTTGGCTCAAGAGAATGAGGAAGGCAAAGAAAATGCCTTGTACTACCTCAGTAAGTGATTATTATTTGCAGAGCTTAAGTACCCAGCGATAGAAAAGCAATATTTGGCCTTGATCTTCACAGTACAGAATCTTAGACATTATATTTTTTCACATAAGATCAATCTGATCTCTCGAGTCAACCCATTGTAGTACTTGATGACCCGTCCGACCCTTTCAGGTTGTCTAGCACGATGGTCTATGATACTACTGTAATTTGATATTACTTTTATTCCCCAGCGGGCCGTCAAAGGACAGGCTCTAGCTGACTTTCTAGCCGATCACACGATCCCTGCTGATTCACTACTCAATGATGATCCACCTGATGAATTAATCTTGAGTGTGGATGAACAGGAGTCCCCTACTTGGGAGTTCTACTTTGACGGTGCGTCATCCGTTAAAACTTTAAGTCCAAATGAAACTCCTACAGTTAGGGTAGGATTAGGCCAGATTTTTGTGTCTCTTGAGGGTCATGCTCTACGGTACTCTTATAGTTTATCAGAACCTCATACTAATAATGAAGCTGAGTACGAAGCTCTAGTTTTGGGACTAGAGTTGGCCATTCAGATGAGTCTTACGCGGGTAAAGATCTTTGTAGACTCCCAATTGATAATCAATCAAGTAGCTGGAGTCTACAAAGTACTTAAGCTTGAGCTCATTCCATACTATAATAAAGCAATGGAGCTCCTGTGCTTAATACCAGAAGTAACTTTGGCCAAGGTCCCCAAATTTGAAAATGGAAAAGCATATGTGTTGGCCAAGTTAGCAAAAGAATTAGCTGACCCTGCTGGAAACCCCATGTCTATTGTATCGTCAGGCTCTGTGCCCCACAGACTTATCTTCTCCCAACCAAACCCTTACAGTGTTTGCTGTTGATGAGGAGTCAGATTGGAGAGAGCCTTTCATAGAGTATTTAAAGCATGGTAGGCTTCCAGATGATAATTCTCTCGCTGCTCAAATTAGAAAGAGGGCTTTATCATTCGTCTATATAAAAGAAACCTTGTATCGATGCTCTTTTGACCAAATGTGGTTGAGATGCCTCAGTAAAGAAGAGGCTAGTAGAGTCATGAGCGAGATACACGAAAGGCTTTGTGGTGCCCATCAGTCTGGACCTAAAATGAAAGGAAGAATTAAATGCCTTGGCTACTACTAGCCAACTATAATCCATGATTGTATGGAGCACGCTAAGAGGTGCCATCAGTGCCAGATTCATGGCACAGTAATTCACCAACCCCCTAATCCGTTGCACCCTACTGTTTCATCCTGGCCATTTAAGGGCTGGGGCACGGATGTGGTGGGTCCTATAGACCCTCCTTTTTCTAAGGGTCATAGGTTTATTTTAGCCGCCACTAATTACTTCTCTAAGTGGGTAGAGGCTATCCCATTCAAGGAAGTTAAATCAGAAGATGTGATGCATTTCTTTCGCAATAATATTATTTATAACTTTGGTGTTTCGCGCCGTATAATCTTAGATAACGGCCCGTCCTTCAGAAGCACCAAAATTGTCAGATTTGTCTGCCGCCATAACATCAATTGGCGATACTCCTTGATTTACTACCACAAAGTCAATGGCTTGGCAGAGGCATTTAATAAGACTCTTGTTCATCTGATAAGAAAAATCCTTATTGCAAATAAGAAAGAATGGCATGATAAGTTACCTGAAGTATTATGGGCATATAGGACTACCTATCGTACTCCTATTCAGTTCACCCCATATGCTTTAGCTTTTGGGGCTGAAGAAGTCCTCCCACTTGAGGTCGAGCTCCCCTCACTATGTGTAGCAGTTAGTTACAATCTATCTGATGAAGATAATGTCTGACTAAGGTTGGAAGAGCTTGATGGTTTAGATGAGCTTCGCTTACGAGCTTATAAATACCTTAAGCTATGTCAGGCCCGAATGGTACGGCACAACGAGCGCCTTGTTAGACCCTGTGCTTTCTGAGTAGGTGAGTTAGTTTTTATTTTGTGTAGGCCTATCATCTCATACCGTCGGTGAGGTGGTAAGTTTGAGCTTGTTTGGAAAGTCCCCTTTGTTGTAGAGCAAGTTTATGAAGGTGGTGCCTTCCTACTTGTTTATGCAAATGGCATTCACCCAATGCCTGTCATCAACGAGCAGTATTTAAAAAAGTACTATGCCTGAGTTTAGTACTTCACATGGGATCCTCCCTACCACATGTAGATATCCCTCTATATATGTAGCTCCTAAAAGGAACCCTCTTACATTTCA